AAAAAAAAAGAACAAGAGTACTTATCCACTTGAGCGAAACAACAAAGAAACATTTTTGGCAACAATAACTGATCAAAAGTACTGTGGATGAAATAAATGTTACAAGAGGATTGAAAATAAAAGTGATGTTTGCTAACAGATTATACTTAGTGTGATACTCAACCTATGGTAACATTTTTAATTTAGACAAGATTCTAGATCTGTTAGCCTATGAATGAAATTATCCTACCAGGGCAGATAAAGGTAAGATTTTATTGTACTTTGCATAGCCTTAATTCTCACAATAACTGTCTTTCTCCATTTCATCGATTAGGAAATTAAATCATGGGGCTTCAGTGTAATTCTAGTCACAAAGGAAGAAAGTGATCTAAAATGTATTTATACTATCGTTAAATTATGAAGCATTTTCTGAAAGTCAGTCAAAAAGTCCATTTATATGACACCATATAACGCTCCCTGACAGAAACTACCAATTTAGCTACAGTAAGCCATAAAACTTTCAAAAGCAAAAATTTAAGAGTTTCCTGAAAATCAGTACTAAAGAATTTCTATACTTTCCAGGATATCTTCCCCTATAGTACTAAAACAAATACGAAATACTAAAAATACTAGAAATATTTATCACCAATTGAGTTAAATCATTAAGACACTCACCTGTAAGAAAAACCATATTAGTTTATATTACATGTATAAAGTGTTTTATAAAAAGGAATCACATGGATTTATTAATCAAGTATTAATGAAAGAACCTCCAAAGATACAAATTTCCTTAGGAGCACCTTATAAACAAAGTATTTTAAAACTAGAAGACAGTAAAAGTGAAAGGAACTTGAGAATCATTTTTATTTTTATTTTTCAGAGACTGTGTCTTCAATGTTGCCCAGGCTGGACTTGAACTTGTGGGTTCAAGTGATCCTCCCACCTTAGCCTCTGGAACTACAGGCATGTGTCTACTTTGTTTTATTGTTTATCTGTTTTGAAGGTCATCTTTAATTTCCCTCACAACTGTTTCCTAATAAAGTTAATAAATATTGTTTATATTACATCCATAAAATATATTAGACCTTATAATTTAAAAAAACTTAGTAATGACAAGGCTACGAATTCCTCTGTCCTAATTATTCCTAAAACATGCAGATTCATCATATTCTAGGTAAAAATCTAAAAGATCACTTAGTATAGACCTACCCAGGTTTCCTTGCTCGATTGTCAGCACCACCTCATCCATCACCACAGCCCTAAAGTCCAGTTCCTCCTCACAACATTTGGCCTTCAGCGCTCGTAAAATCTCTTTTTGAGGATAGTCTTCCCTGATGCGACGATCTGTCAAAAACCACAACTTGGCAGCCACAGAACTACACATCTTGATTAGCTTGTGCTTCCTTGCCTGGATTATTTCCTCTTGGATGTAATGTCTACCTAGATGGAAGAGAAAATATACATAAAAGGTAAATCAAGAAATCTACTTGATTTCTGGATTTCATACAAATAAATGCTGAGATTATATACTAATTATATAAACAGGAAAAAACAAGTGTAGAGATATTATTTGTTTCCCTTTCATTCAAACTAAAATTATACACTAGTAATACGGACACTGACCACCTCTTCAGAAATACGATTTCTCCATTTTTCCTTGGGGAAACTGGCACTGCAACTTAATAACTATAGCTGGTCACTTAGCAGAAACTTTAAATACCCTTCCCAATATTACATATTGTCTAGAAATATACTTTAATCTGAACACTGACTTTTTGTTTTATCTCCTCCCTCAACATTCTGTTCTTGATATGAAATGAAATTCCAATCATCAATACATCTCCATCTTTCCCATCACTAGAAACCCCACTTAAGTATATTTTTGTATCTGTGGTTAACTTTATATTCAATTTTCTTCCTTGGTTTTGTTATAGGTATGTAGAAAAAAAAACAGGTAGTAGCACTTATCTTACTAGGTAAGCTTCAATGACGAAGTCATTTACACAGTAGCTTTAGTCAAAATAAATACTTGGAGAATGAGCAAAAAGGGCTCTCAATAACCAAAATAAATGTCCAGGTCCATTCACTACATTTCACTTATTTCAGCCAGAGGACAGCATGCTCTTACTCAATGTTTTTATTCTTTCTATAAATAGAATTTTTAAAAATAAACGCAGCTTGTTTACCAAAATGCAAAAAAGGACATTTTTCCAGATAGTGTTGCTTCGAGTTTGTATCATGAACAATGCAACATTAAAAATCATCTTCCTAAGAAAAAAGTTACAAGTTTCAAAACAAGCAACAAAAAGATTTTAATGTTTACAAAAAAAACAAAATGTCAAGTATCATTCAAGTATTATTCCAGATAATACGGCACACCTAACACAAAAGGAAAGGTCCCCGGCAAAGACTGCAGGAAGGAAAGGCTGTACAGACCAGCAGCTTCCTGAATAGTGGCAGCTGGACATGATCCACCCTCCAGGTACCAGCAAGAAGGGCCTGCTCCACAGTGCATACGGTTTGAAAGCAGAGCATTGCTGGGCAGGGGCACCACCAGAGCCAACAGCACACATTCCCAAGTACCTCAAAATGCCATGTCTGCCACACTTGACCACCTACCTCTCTCTTAACTAACCTACTACCCCACAATCCACTGCCTCAAAGGCCTAAGTCTCTGTTAAACAAGCAGGGTATCTAAACCGGATTATGGTAGTAACTCAGCTTACACACATACTAGGTAGGAAGGAACCATGCTAACTTAACATCGGATGCTCTAGGGTTAGCAGTTCTGAATATTTAACAACTTTTTATTTTTACTTATTTATTTACTTTGAGATGGAGTTTCACTTTTGTCACCCAGGCTAGAGGGCAATGGTGTGATCTCGACTTGCTGGAACCTCTGCTTCCCGGGTTCAAGTGATTCTCCTGTCTCAGCCTCCCAAGTAGCATGTGCCACCACACTCAGCTAATTTCTTATTTTTTTTTTAGTAGAGATGGGGTTTCACTATGTTGGCCAGGCTGGTCTTGAACTCCTGACCTCAGGTGATCTGCCCGCCCCAGCCTCCCGAAGTGCTGGGCGGATCACCTGAGTGAGGTCAGAAGTTCGAGACCAGCCTGGTCAACGTGATGAAACCCCAGGCCTCCCAGACTGGTGCGGTGGGCTCCAAAGCCTGTAATCCCAGCACTTTTGGGAGGCGAGACGGCGGATCACGAGGTCAGGGAGGATCTGAGACCATCCTGGCTAACACGTGTGAAACCCCGTCTCTAGTAAGAAATACAAAAAAAGGGCGGCGCGAGGGTTGCAGCCGCCTGTAGGTCCCAAGCTACTCGGGAAGGCTTGAGGCAGGAGAATGGCGCGTGAACCCGGGTAGGCGGACGACCTTTGCCAGGTGAGCCTGAGATCCGGGCCCACTTGCACTCCAGCCTGGAGCAGCGAGCGAGACCCGTTCAAAAAAAAAAAAAAAAAAAAAAAAAAAATGATGAAACCATCTCTACTTAAAAAAAAATAAATTATATTATATTATATACTTGTGTGTGTTATATAATATATACCATACACAAAAATTAGTCGGGCCTTGGTGGCAGGCACCTTAATCCCAGCCTACTCGGGAGCTTGAGGCAGAAGAGAATGCATTTGAACCCAGAGGCGGGGAGGTTTGCCCAGTGGAGTCGAGAATCACGCAATGGTTGCGTGGTCATTGCACTCCAGGCCTGGGCGCAACAGAGAGTGAAATTCGCGTCATCACACACGCACACACACACACACACACACACACACACAGAAGAGCGATAAGGACCAGGCTCATTAAAATGAAAAATATATAAACAACATAAATGGCTTCTCCTACAGCAGAAAATATTCCCATCGCATATTATTACAGGACAGTAAACCTTTCCTCTCTCCTCCTTAAACAGGAATTGTTCCGATAAATTTTTTCTCCTATGAAACTTTTTCCCTTGAAAGAGATTTCCATTTTACACCACATATGGGAAAGGTACAGTGCAAACCTGCACTGTCATTCACCTGATGGGAACACTTTTTTTATGGGTTGCATTTCAGGTCTCTTCCCTGGTGGACACGTGCAACAGGAAAGGACCACAAGTGTGTCCCTGACACGGCTGGTACCCGAGATGTAGATACTCGCTCATTAAAAAAAGGGTTATAGCCACACAGGGGCCTTTCCACAGGCCCCTTGGGGAAGGTCTCACTCAGCAAAAGGCAAAGCTCGCACAAAAGAAAAATCACACGAGAATACCTGATGTAGGATAGAATATCCCCAGCCTTTCCCTTGACGAACAGAATTGTAAAAATGACCCTTAAAAATTTTGTAATGCAGTAGTTATGGAAAGACTCTGTCACACTGACTCCCAACACTGTGAAAGCTATGTCCGCGGTGCCTGGCCCTGACAACTTGGCTTCTTGAAACTCACCCATTCTTGCAGATTTTTTTTTTTTTTTTTTTTTTT